GTGTTATTGTAATGTGGTGCATGATGGAATGCACTTCCTGTCTCTTAGTACCTATATAAACTATGATCAAATATTATATCCTTGTTCTTTCTAATTGTCTCTGACCTTCTCTCTGAATCTTTTCTCTTTGTTATTGAATAAAACATTACAAGATATTTTAATGTCACCAAACTTCTTGAAGATATCAATGACAGTATTCCAAGTGTACCTACTTGCTAGCTTGCCTGAGTTGTATGACACACTTGTTACAGCACTAGAAGCAATGAAAGAGTACCATCTATGGAGAGCGTGGAGAGAGTAGCAGTAATGCTATAGACTGTATCACAAGAGTCAACCTAAGAAGAAGTGGTAGAAACAAATATGCTGTCATCACTGTAAGAAGCTGGGTCATATGCAGAAGGATTGCTATGAAAGAAATCAATTATTTACAGCTACTTCAAAAAAAAGAAATGACAAAGAAAAGAAAAAGATACCACAAAGATGGAAGGAAACCAGGAAGAGTAGACCTACATGTAGTCCTGGTGTTGATCTAATAACCACACATGCACTAGCAGCTAGCAGCAATCAAGCAGACAGCTGGATTCTCAATTCAGGAGCTAAGTGCCACATTTGCTGTAATTAAACATGTAAGAAGTTGATTCTAACTGGGTCTAGAACCTTCTACAGACTACTATAAGTATATATTATATGTATTCAAGTATATTCTACAACAATCATGTATGTAAAGTATTCTTGTGTGTTAGAAAACCTTCTAGACATTTATGGTACCTATAATACCGGTAAGTGTGTGAATTTGGTAACTTTTGGTGTGTGTTGTGTTGTGTGGTGTGTAGTTATTTGAGTTTTGAATAAGAGTAATTTTTGGAAATAGAGTTGGTTAATTCAGACAGTTAGGAATGTCTGTTACAGAACACTGTTTTCAAAATTAGATTTCAAGATGTCACACTAGGAGACAATAGAGTAATTAAGGCAGCTAGCTGTGGTACTATTAAAATTGAATTAGCTCAGAAAGAGGATGTCATAGAGTGTACAGTCCAAATATGACCCATCTATGTCCCTGAGCTGTCATTTAATCTACTCAGAATATCTCCAGAATAACAGATCGTGGTAAAGCTGTGGTTTTTGACGAATCCACATATGATATCATGTGTGAAGATGAAAAAATCATTGGCAGTTCAATTAAAAATGAATGTCTCTATTACCTCAGTTGTAAGAGTATCAGATAGAGCGTCAACACAGCAAGAGCTCATGTGCTGGTGTCAATGTTTGGCATCAACGATAATTATGGTTATCTTAATTAAACGAGTCTAAAACAACTTGCTAAGGAAGGGTTAGTTGATGGTCTAAGCTGTGATGATCTTTTAGACAAATTTGATTTTTGTGAATCATCTATCAAAGAGAAACAGGCTACATCGCACTCTGTTTCCAACAACAGGAGGTAAAAGAGCTGATGAGCCACTAGGATTAGTCCACAGTGATGTGTGTGGTAAGATCAATTCCAAGTGACTAAGTGGAGGTGAGTATTTTCTCTCATTCGTAGATGATAAAACCAGATTTGTGTGTGTTTATATTTTAAAACAATTAAAAGAGTGAAGTTTTTGAGAGGCTCTATAGAGTGGAAGTCAATGGTGGAAAGGTCTACTGCCTACTGGAAGGAATCTAAGGGTTCTTTGTAGTGACAATGGTGGGGAATACATGTTAACCCCTTTTCAGACGTATCTTAAAAAGAAAGCATTAAGCATGAGTTAACCTTTGCAAGGTCACCTGAACAGAATGGTATTGCAAAAAGGTCAAACCACACATTAACGGAAGCTGTGAGAGCAATGCTATTTCAAAGTAGTCAGGCTCCACCTGACTAATTTTAAAGCCAGTTATCTCAAAGGTTCTGGGCAGAAGCCCTGACTACTGCAGTTTACTTAAGAAATAGAAGTCCCACCAAAGGTAATGAAGGCAGTACACCACATGAAGCCTTAGAGTGTGTCAAACCAAAGGTCAATCACGTCAGAGTACTTGGTTGTGATGGCTGTTCACATGTCTCAAAAGAAGAAAGACATAAGCTGGATCCTAAAGCAAAGAAGTGTGTTCTACTCGGTTATGGTATGGCAACAAAGGGCTATCGTTTATATGACATCAATAAAAGAAGAGTCTTTTGTGGTCATAATGTAATTCTTGATGAAAGCAAACCTGGCTATGGAAAGGAACCAAACTGATGTTTCTATTTCAGAAGGAGCTGATAATGAGACAGCAGAAGATCACCGTAATACTGAAGAAGAACCAGTCTTACGACAATACAAAAGTGACAAAACCGACCAATTTCTATGGCACGTACATCACTGCTACTGTAACGGATCTTCTTCCTGAGCCAACTACAGCAGAAGAAGCACTCTCAGGTCCAGAAAAGGACAAAAGGAAAGAAGCCATAAAAGGAGAGGCATTCTCTTAGAGCTGTTGATGTCTATGATATAGTCAATTTGCCACATTTACAACACAGAAAAACTGTCGGGTACAAGTGGATATTCAAACATAAAGTGAGAGCTGATTGTTCTATTGAGAGGTAAAAAGCTAGGCTGGTTGCTCAAGGGTATTCTCAGAAGCCAGGGCAGAGCTACAATGAGACTTTCTCTCCTGTTGTACATTTTGAGTCTGTACAGTCTGTTATTGCCATGGTAGCTCAACATGGATTACAATTATATCAGACAGATGTAACACCTACCTTCTTAAATGGAGATCTTGAAGAAGAGATTGATAATTAGGCCACTCCAATAAGATTCATAGTTTCCCATTACAGAGGCGGGCCTGATGCGGGCGGGCGGGTTTGTTCATTTTCATTAAATTTATTCATTATCAGCTGTATAAATTGCTTGTATAATCAATGAAAAACCGCAATAATGAATAGCGATGCGGCCCCATGCGGGCGGGTAATGGGAAACAAGGAATCAAATTGGAGTGGCCTTATGTCTCAACCCAAATGTTTTCAAACAGAAGGAAAGAATCTGGTATGCAAGCTAAAGCGTAACTTGTTTGGTCTTAAACAACAAGCCCCTCAGTGTTGAAACACAGCACTTGACAATCAGCTAAAAGGAATGGGGTTCACACAGAGTGACCCTTGTCTCTGTGTCACTTCAGAAGGAGAGTTGTTCATTATGGCAGTATACATAGATTATATTCCACTTGCTGGAAACTTGAGGATATGAGGAAAATGGATGAAATAAAGCAAACCTGAATAGGTCAAACTATACCTACATTTTTAGTCTTTGGTCTCCAAAAAACTAAGTCAGTTGCTACGCCAGTAAACACAGCAATGAAGCATGTGAAAGCAACTGAAGATGACAAGCTAGCTGATCAAGGTTTATACCAGTCAGCAGTATAGGGAGTCTACAATACTTGTCAACTATGACAATTGAGGCCTGATATTACATTTGCTGTTTCAGATGTATAAGTTCTCCTCTAAACCAACAAAGGATCATTGGTTGCAGTTAAGAGAATCATTAGTTATCTACAAGGTATTAGAAACTATGGTTTAAAGTACTTATGTGATGGCTCTAACACCTTGAATATTCAGATTCAGATTTTGGAGGTAGTGATACAAATGACTGTAAGTCAACCTCTGGTTACATTATTCAAATAGGGGGCACTGGAATAAGTTGGAGAAGTAAGAAGGAAACCAGTGGTGCTCTCTCTACTGCTGAGGCTGAGCACATGTTTCTTTTTCACATGCTCTAATAAAATTTGTAACAAAATTTGCAATACAATTTCAATACTTTGGTGTTTGTGATATGACTGCACTGAAAAAGTACTGATACCATTACAAATATACTGTGATAATTATTGTTCAAATTTGTGCTATACCGGTATGTACTGGCAAATATTCAAAACTTATGTACCTGCATGTTGCTTGATCACATCACATGGGCAAAGACGGGCTAACAAAATCATTGAAAATGTTGCTACAATCATTGTGCATGGGACTGTTTGGCATAGTTTGATTAGTTTCATTTACTGATTTGCTATGTTAGAGGGGTAACATTTTAAAATACTGCTTCTGCAAACATGCAGTCTA